TTGCTAATTTAAAAATCTTGATTTGATCAAAATCAGATGTTTAAAGCTTTGTAATATTAAAAAACTAACCCTGTTAATGAAAAAAAAAAAAAAAATTATTTTTGAATCATTTTTCAAATTTTTATGTAAATTACTACAAGATAATCTAATATATATAAGATTTGGCAAGACAAATATATCTTTTAAGCTTATATTTATCAACCACAGTATTTATTAATTAAGGTTATAAGGGGTTTGTTGGTATGAAAACTAAGTACCTGAAGAATTGCGACCTGAAGAAGAGTGCCTTGAAGACCTACAGCGGCAGAAGTTGCAGCAATCACAGCAGGGCCTACCAAGAACCTGATGACCATGGCAAAAATCGCTAACCTTTTGCCACAAGAGACGATGCTAGGTTGTGACCCCATGAACAAGCCTGCATTAAACTTCTACCTTTATAAGTAACTCATCAATTCATATATATATAAATCTATGAAACTTCAATTTGGGTTGAAGATGCTGGTAAAACCCGATAGATTGCCCTTTAACTTTTGAAATGTGTAAAACTTTACCCCTCACTTTATAATATATGATTTTATTGTCTCCTGATATGATTTTATACCCTTCTAGTATTACAGTATGTGAAACTTTACCTCTCACCTTACAACTTTAGGAGAGTATAACATCATAAACTCGAATATTATGATGGTATAAAATCATAAACTCAAATATTAGGAGGATATAAAATCACATATTATAAGGTAAGGGGTAAAGCTCCACACACTCAAAAAGTTGAAGGGCAATTTATGGGTTTTTGCCTGAAGATGCTAACCAAGACTGAACATTGCCATTCCAAGACCTGTGTTTGATAATATCGTTATCGATCCTTTTATGATAGATGGCATTTCCATGTTCCACCTAATATTAAAAATCTAAACTTAATTATATATGTACTAATAGTATTTTAATCAATTCATCATGAATTGATTAAAAAACAGAAGGTTGATTATGTCAAACATGGATCTCGAAACATTAATTACCTGAATGATATAAGAGACCATACTAAGCCTATAACACATGCATAAGTATTGAGATTGGTTGTCAACTTCCTCCATACCATTAGAAGACCAAGCCTTATCATGACACCCGCAGGAGGCATCTCATGCAGTTCTTCCTTAGCCTCACAATTGGCTTCATTTTGGTTAGTAGCCAGAGGGGATGCGTCGCCGGGGAACTCAGATGCAACCTCAACCTTAACCTCTGTGCTGTTGTTGTCATTAAGTACAGTTCCGGTCACCGGAGGGATCATATCTGATTCCAATAAATTAAGGTTAAGGAAAAAAATTTTGTCATAATTAAGAAAACCCAAAAGACAATTAATTTGAAACTTAGCTTCTTCTGTAACACCTGGCCAAGAACTTATTTCTGATTTATAAGTATCAGATGTGGCAAAATTGTGCCGTCTTTGATTAAAAAGGTTGCCCAAGTCGCCGTTAATGCACCTCCTTCCCAAGCTCTCGGCTTCGTTGAAGCTGGAAATAGAACCCCTCGGCGTCGGTTCTCTAGTCGAGGGTAAAGAGTAGATGTCTACACCAGTGAGGTTGGATGCTCTTGGAGTCGGAGACATATTTTTGGATTTTAATGACGACACAGTTGATGATCTACGCAACACCACATGCAGTTTCCCAACGTCACTGATCTCGGCGTTGGCTTGCAATTGCTCAGAGTGACGGAGGGAGGTGACATCGGAATCAACATGGATGGAACTTGGAAGCGATGGAGGCTGCTTTTTCAGGGAATTGTTCCTTGAGGAGAATCTTTGCTCCCCTGTATTCAAACATGAAGATCAAGAGAGTGTACCAAACAACGCTCTGCATGACCACGATCTGGACCATGAGACTGCTCGAAAAGTCACCATACATGGCTCCCAAAAGTGGGATTCCGACCACAAGGGTGTTGGGAATGGTGGAGAGGGAGAAGAGAGTGATCGTCCACTCGATGCTGCCCCGTGTGCTGAAGAATTGCCAAAGAAACAGGGCAAACAGAACCACTAGCTTCTGGAGAGAATCGGCAACAATGAAATGGAAGTTCATGGTGTAAGCGTCGTCGGACTAAATGAAATGGAAAGAAAGCAGAGGAACAGCAAAAAGGGCCACGAAACTGTTGATACCGGCAAAACGCTCCGGTGTAAAAAGTTTCCACCACCTCACAGAACCATATCCCAAAAGGAAAATGATGTATGCACCCGCCGGTTCAACACCCGGCGGTGCACACTCCATAAAATATATTTCCCTAAATCCTTAACTCTGCAGCCATTCACGGACTTTTGGCCTATTTGTGCATCCAAACACAAGGCAACCCTGATTTTTTCCTCTCTTTTCTCATAAACCAAACAGTAAAACCATCACAAGAAATTCTAGCGATTAAAAAAGAATCATTAAAAGATAAACTAGGCAATATCATAATTCTACAATTAAAATCAGTTCACATTTATTTCTTTTAGTTTCTCAGAAACCAAACAGCTAACACCACAAGATAATTCTAACTGATCATTTTAAAACAAACCCATATTTCAATTACCTGCAAATGAAATGAATTAACGAAAATTTTCTACAATCTTATGAATTTCATTACAAAAATCAAATCACAATTAAATTTAGAAAAAACAAATCTCAATTTTCTATTACTGCCTCTGCTTATCTTCATGTTCTGTTGCCCCAATCGTGGGTTGCAACAACAACGCCGTAACTGGGTTCTCCACCGCAGATTTCCGAGCCGGTGGCGCCGCCTAGGCCTGCTTCAGCTTGACCAACAACTCCACCACCACCCTGTCGTCCGTCATCGCCGCCATCACCCACTCGTCCTTCACCGCCATTATCATACCCACAAAAACCCAGCCTAGAAAACCCAGAAAATCCAGAAAACAGAGAATCACCCAGGTGGCATAGCTTAAAGTGAGAGAACCCAGATCGAGTTCTTACTAAGAGAACCTGTGGGTTCTTCTTCAGAACCCAATCTGGGTTCTTGGTAAGAACCTGATCTGGGTTTTCTCGGGTTCTTTGGGTTCTCCTGGAGAACCCAGATCGGGTTCTTATGGAGAAACCAAATCTAGGTTCTCCAAGAGAACGTGGGGAAAAAAAAAAAAAGAGGAAGAAGGAAAGAGAAAATCCCCAAAACCCAGGCCTGTTTCTCCGCGGATTTGAATTGAGTGTGGTAGGGATTCAGCAGAGAATAAGCCAAGGATATGCCAACCAATGTGAGGAAAATATATTTTAATAGATGGACCGGTGGTGTGTTGCATGGGGTGTGGGTTTAGGGTGTGTACGTATCATGATCCTATTATATATCTTAATTTAATAAAAAAAAAAAAGCCAATAATTGAATGAGACATAAAGTTATATAAAAAAGTTGTACTCTTTCTATCTTAGAAAATTAAACGTTTTTATAATTTTATCTTCAAATTAAGGATTTGAAGATAATTTCAATTTTTTCTATTTTACCCTTAAAAAATAAAAGTAAAAAAACCTTTTTCATTATAAGAAGGATGATTAAAATTAAAAAATAATCATAAGGTTAAAGTTGAAAGAACATATTTGTTTTCCTTAAAATTTGAAAAAA